AGAATTTAACTATTTTCATTGTTATTGTTTTCATTTGGTTATTGAACTTAAAATTGATAAAAGGTAAAGTATCATTATTTTAATTATCCAACTGTTAAACTTTTAATTATACTTAATATTTTAGTCATTTAATTCTAAGATTTATCTTTACTAATTGATTAATGTTTTGGGTAAACTATAAGATTGACCCTCTAACTATTGTTCTTTTTCACTTTGACCACCAATCTTCTAATTTTGTCAATCAGGTCACCTAACTATTTAAATGCTTTCAATCAAGCCATTTGTCGTTAACATTTGACGAAAGTGATGATATGGCAATTACTAAAATTGGCATAATTATACATTTGATCCTCAAAACTTATATATTCTAATAATTTAATCATGATTTTAATTTAATTATTTTTCTTACAACCAGATAATGATAAATGTCACAATCCGGTTGGATGCAAAACAAATTAAAGTGGAAAACAATTCAATAGCTTAAGGGAGGACTCAAACTCTAGCCCTAGCTATGTTAAACATGCCATAACCAATCTACCTTATCATTTGAGTTGTGAAATACACAATAATATATATATATATATATATATATATATATATATATATATATTATATACTTTAATTGATACCAAAGAAAAGGAAAATAGTTATGGTAGGATTTGAACATAGGCCAAATATAAAATTGGACAACATAAAAACACTGAAACAAATTTTATATTTAGTTAATAATTGGATAGATTTATATATATGTCAAACACTAATTTATACAAGATTAAAAGAAAAACTAAATTTAAGTTTTGCACATGATTAAAATCGACTTTTAATACCAACAACCAGTTGGTCTAGTGATATGACGCACTAGGTCCTTTAAGCAAGGTCAGGGGTTCAAGTCCTGGTTTTTGCGAATGGAGCAAACTGGGTTGGGAGGGTTACCCTCGCCTCTACAATACCCGATCTGGATTAGTCTATCAATAGATCGGATACCAGTGATTAATTCAAAAAAAATTGACGTCTAATTACACGTTTTAACTATGCAACACAAACCAAATTACCTCAATGATTAAAGAAATAGTTATTGTTCCTAGAGGTTACGGGTTCAAACACCAGCGGCTGCAAGGGTGATTGAGCGTTCATTGTCAAATGGTTGAGAGTACTTAGAATAGATACTACTTTATAATCACCTTAACTTAATTAAAAAAAGTATAACTATGCAATCTAATAAAAAAATTAATTAAAATATAAGTGTTTCATATACTTATTTTTTTAATAAAAAGTAAAATTGTTAATTAAATTAAAAATATATTAAATTTAATTTAAATATACAAATTTTTTATTTTAGAAATCACTAATTTTATTCAAAATAAGAAATATCCTAAATTACAATAAAAATATACAATCATATTAGTAAATTAAGCACATAATTAAGACAATTTTCTATAATCATTTAAACAAAACTAGTAACTTAAGATCACTTAAGGACCATACAAGGAAATATTAAAATCTAACCAAGAAAAATAGATACAAACAAATCTGATTATATCGATAAACGAACTACAAAAGTAGATCAAGTTACTAAAAGACACCGACAAACCACAAATCAGACTTAAGCAGCATAAAAAGCTATCAACGAACGCATAAGGGGTATCCAAATCCAATATGATGGTCAAAAGCATGGAAGATCAACAATATAACAGATAAGCAACATCTTGATCAATTGCGACGATGCCAAATCAACCCTTAGAAAATGATAATTGAAAACAACGACCAAATGATAAAAAAAACGTGCCTAAAGAGAGAAAAAAATGTGTCATCAAAACAGATGAAAAAATATCTTTCAGGCAGACTTATTGAAAAATAAAACAAAATAAAATAAAATGACAATAGATAATATCAACTATCGGTAACCAACTTTAAAGTTGGTATAGCCTCCCATCAATAAAGACAAAAAGAAAAAAACGGACAGTTAAATTTAGTTTTTCTTTTGATATTGTATAAACTAGTGTTTGACATATATATATATATTTATCCTACCATAGCCATTTTCCTTTCTTTCTTTTCTGGTATTAATGAAAGTATAAAATATAAATTATAGCGTGTTTCATAACTCAAACGATGATGTAGGTTGAGTGGTTAAGGCTCACTCAACACTACCAGGAACCTGGGTTTGAGTCCCCTACTAAGTTGTTGAATTGTTTTGCTCTTTAATTTGTTTTGCATTCAACCTGAAGGTGACACGTGTCATTATCTGGTTAGAAAAAAAATAATTAAATTAAATATATTAAAATATAAAAAATAATCTTTAATTAAACGGTGACACGTGTCACTATCTTATTATAAGATTAAATTTATTACATTAAATTAAAATCATGACTAAATTGATATAATATATAAAGATAGAGGATCAAATGTGTAATTATACTAATTTTATTAACTGTCACATCGATATTTTCGTCAAATGTTAACAACATGTGATTTAATTGAATGTAAATAAATAATTAGGTGACCTGATTGACAAAATTGGCAAATGGATGGTCAAAATGAAAAGGAACAATAGTTAGGCGGTCAATGATATTGTTTACCCTAATATTTTATGATATTTTAACCTTTCAACTATTAAATTACTATTGGCAAATTTAAATGTAATTTTCCATTTATGTTTAGGTAATAATTCATCACTCATTTTTCATTTATAGGAATTATATAACATATAAGGAGCTTTTTTAGGGCCTAAAAGACTTTATGCGATTTTCAATGTATTATTTAGAAGAAAAAAAACGATGTGTAATGCGATGTACAAATGTATATTAATTTTGGAAATTTTTATAACGATCAACGAGTTCTTTTAAGTACTATTAACAATGAATACTATTAATTTAATTTATAAAATTTAAAATTTTAAAAGATTCAACGTATATTTATAAATTAGTTAAATATAAAGGTAAATTATTTAAAATAAAATATTAATTATATTATTTTTCATAATTTTGGTGTAAACTTGGAATCCTTATTTCTTGGTCTATTACTAGGGATATGCATAGGGCAGGGAGGGTCAGTTTTTTGGTTGCCCCAACCCCGAGCTAAAAATATATTATTTATACTCAACCCTGCTCCGACTCAATTCGAATATATTAATATCTTAAAATAATATATTGATAATCATGTAAAATATTTTAAATGGTTAAATTAATTTATTTTACCTTAAATCCTATCTCATTCGAATATATATATATATATATGAGTAAACTAATAATTTAAAAACAAATGGACCCAAGGATGACAATTTAATACGAAGCCGATGAATTTTGAACCGAACCCATCCAATAGGGTTTTTTTTTAAATTTCAGGTCTGGGGCGTGTTATATAATAGATAGCTTTGGGGCGGTTTTAAGGTGAAAATTTATCGGCACGATCCAACCCGATATAAATTATTAGTTTATCCTTTTATATATATATTTGAATCGGTTCGAGTTCAATGTAAAATATATTATTTTAACCGTTTAAAATAAAATAAATAATTATAAATATATTACTTCAACTATTTTAAAATATTAATATATTCAAATTGGATCAGACGGGGTTGAGTATGAATAATATATTTTCGGGTCGGGGTCGAGGCGGCCAAAAAATGGCCTGCCCTGCCCCATGCCTATATCCCTAGTAATAGGCCAAGGTTCGGGTTGTTTTATTGTTACTTTTATTTTTATTTTTTTCTGGCCTTCATTATTGTATAAGATAAATAATAAATGCTATAAATATTATATCAAGAACTAGTGTTGGCACAGTGGTAGAGGTTGTTAAATCCATTTTGGAGATCTAGGTTCAATTGTCCCCAACAGCTTCTTGATTCAATTGTCATCATTTGATTGAAGAAAAATATTAAAATTAAATATAAATTAAGTCCTCTGATGATGCATGTAGATATATGATAGGAGGATTAAACATATTAAATTAAATAAACTATGACCAATTTGATAGGTTGTGTAAGGAATAAGAACTAAATGTGTAAATATACTAATTTTATTAAATGTCATGTCAACTCTTCTGATAAGTGTTAACAACAAGTGGCTTGATTGAATGCATTTAAATAATTAGGTGATCTGATTAATAAATTTTCAAAAATGGTGGTCAGAATGAAAATGAGCAATAATTAGGTGGTCAATGATATAGTTTACTCAAAAAAGATTATAAAAAATAATATAATTAATATTTTATTTTAAATAATTTACCTTTAACTTTTTAACTACTTTATAATTATATGTTGAGTCATTTAAAATTTAAAATTTTATAAAATTAAATTAATTGTGTTCATAATTAATGATACTCGTTGAGCATGGCATACTCATCCCTTAATATTTTGTTGTTAAGCTCAAGTAATGGTTAGAGGCGTTTATGTTCAATCTATTTTTCATGTTATAAAGGGTTTATTTTTATAATAAAATTATAATAAGATATCTTAATTAAAATTATATTTTATTTTAGGTTTAAGAAAATATTTTTGTATAAAAGAATATTTGTGGGAATTTAATCAATAAATAAACATAGTTTTAAGAGATAAGTTAGATCATATGTTAAGTTATATAAAATGAGGAATATGATGAAATCATTCCTAAAATATAATTAATAGATTTGATAGATTTATTTTGATAAACATATATAAGATAAAATAGAGTAAAAAAATAAATATAAGTGTTGTTATTTGTTGACTCTTTTAATAGAATTTTTGAATGTGATAATTTTAAAAACCAAAATGGATTAATTTAATGATATTAAAAGAGTTTATAATATACCTATAACCAGTTGATCTAGTAGGATGAGACACTATATCCCTAAACAAGGTAAAGGGTTCGACTTCTGGTATTTGTAAATGGAGCAAATTAGATTGTGAGGGTTACCCTCGTCTCTGCAGTACCCGATCCGAGTTAGTCAATCAATAGATTAAATATATATTTTTTTAAAAAGTATTAAAATAATGAAAAATATCATTAATCAAGTTGAGGCCTTTCATGTTTAAACAAGACACTGATTATTCATAGGGGAACATCGAAGGGGAAATCTTGTGGATATTTATTTATAGTTTCTCTGAGTTGTTTATCTTGCTCAACAAGGTTAGATGGTGGGACATCGTAAACATCCGTGAACAACTCCGTGAGTGGCGGTTTCTTCCTTCCCTCCGCCACTTGAATCGCTTTCATTATCTGCATTGAAAAATTGCTCAAATTAATCACATTCACATGCACCATTTCTTCCCAACATTCATACATACTTGCCTCATTCTTTATGCTACTTCTGTGTTCAGTTTCATCTCTTTCACTCCACCAACCATTGAGTTCAACCCATTTTCTAAACCTATTCACTGGGTCTCGATCCGTTTTCCAGTGCTCGATTTCGGTTAGGGGACGATACTTGGTCGAATCATCGGACGTGGAATGGTGTCCGACTCTCAATTTATGGAACATTCATTTAGTTACATGTGATGTGATCTTACCTCAACTAGAACAGGTCGTTGTTCGTTTACAGCCATGTTTCGAGCTGCACGAATGGCGCTGTAAACAGCGAGTGCATCAGTTCCATCGACCCGAATGCTCGGGATTCCATAAGCTTGGCCCTTTACAGCCACACCGTCGCCTGCCAAAACACGACTGATTTCGTCAAGCCTTTTATTCAAATAGTGTTATGCATTGATGGAAACATAAATATACTTCGAAATTGTTCCGATATCGGTGTACTAATGGCCCAGCCATTGTTGCGGCAAACAAAAATTACTGGGGCTTCCATAACAGCTGCAAAGTTCAAACCAGCATGAAAATCTCCCTGGAAAAAAAAGGGGCAGTTCATAATTGATAAAAATGCTAGAAAATGTTCAAAAACTTGTAAGGATTAAGGTAGAGTATTGGCCAAGTAACCTCACTGGTACCGCCATCGCCGATAAAGGCTACGACACAAGCATCTTTTCTATCCGTCTTAAGCGAATACGCCATGCCTGCTGCTTGAGGAAGCTGAGTTCTGTCACAGACAGAACTTCAAAACATTCAGACATGAAAACCAATGGTCGAAATTTGATTATACAATCGATATCTTACGCAATAGGGGATGATATGGTCACGAAATTGTGGTTGCTTGAGCCGTAATGAATCGGCATCTGCCTTCCTTTCCCGACATCATCCTTGTTCCCGAAGCATTGGTTGGCAAATTCCTGCAGCGTGAAACCACGCCACAATAGAATCCCATGTTCCCGATACTGACGGAGCATCGGATTATTATATTAAGATCATAACAGAAACCAAAATTAACAACTATTTTCCGATAATCCGATTTCGAATCACCTGAGGCATGATAATATCATCTTTTGTAAGTGCAGCAGCAGATGAAATGTTAACAGCTTCTTCGCCAAATGATGTCATATAGAAGGAAATTCTCCCTTGCCTTTGTGCTTCATAGAAGAAAGTATCCATTACTTGCAGAGTAACCATGTCACGGTACATTTTCACTGCCAGTTCTTCGTTTACCTAATGTCGATTTCGAAACCCGTAACGACACAGATTACTGAAATCTTAAACACAAATCAATATTCGTGTTAATTGAATTTACCTTTTCAAAGTCGACACCTTTAATTAGCTCTCCATTATCACCAAGAACTCGATAGCAAGGTATTCTTTTATCAGAAGACCCTGAAATGAATTTCAATTCTGTAGTGTATGCAACTTTTCCTCCAGGAAAATCTATTGCCTGCCAATGTTTTTTTTAATTAATTAATTAACGATTTTTGAATAAATGCAATCAAGTGATTATGGATACTAATAGGTACGGTGATAAAAAGGACTAATGCCTAATTTAGACTTTAAAGTATAATTTTAATTTTAATTTTAATTTAATGCTTTGATATATTTTTAACTAGACAAAAAGGTATATGAGAGCCTACTTTTGGGGAGGGGAATTACGGTAGTCCTCGAATTATTTTTGCACCCAATGTGGCACTCCAACTCAGAAAACAAATTTAATATGACTCTTTGACTAACATTTTTCACCTTTGATTGTTATAGTGTTGACATGACAATTCACGGTGTTGACGTGACGGTCCACGATAGTTGGTGATGTGACAAATGATATAACAAATTAGCTAAATTGATTTTTTGGTCTTATTCAATGGTGGATTTTTTTTTTTAAATTTAGAGGATTTTTACAAAAAAAATATTTTTAATTTAAATATAAAAATATTCTAATATTTGTTTTTTAATTATTTATATATTTAAATGTTCATGGGCTTATTAAATTAAAATTATTTAATTTAAAAGTTTTACCTTTTTATTAATGTATTTTTGTCCAAATTAACTTTTTGTCTTTTTTCTTATTAATGATTTATTTGGATATTCTAGAATTAGTAACAAATTGATATATATGTAGAGGTTGGTGGTTAATTTTTTTATAATTAAGATTAAAATAATACAATGTGTAAATGTTAAAAGGTTAAATATGCTATTATATCAATTACGGAAGTTTTTATATTTTCTTTAATTTTGAAAAAAATATAGTTAAAATTATGTTAAAGGATTAAATTGAAATTTTAGTTTTATTTTAAAATTAAATTCTATATAAATATTTATTTATAATTTAAATCATTAGGGTGACTACTAAATATGATTGGCGAAACTTTAGTGAATATCACTAATATTAATTTATTATATATGAAAATAATTATATATTTAAAAGATTTTTAAATTAAAAATTATAGTCAAACAGTAAAGTATTCATTTTTTAATCATCTATAATTTTTAACCAGGTAATAACTTTTTATTTAATTTCCATCCACGTGTGCTAAATCATGGAATTAGTAACACACATTTCAAATAACTGAAAAAATTAATAAAAGGAATAATTAACAATCTAGCAAGCAGTAATAATTTCTTAACACTAGAAACAGCGATGGACTTAGAGGGGCCTGGATAGGGGCGTGTTTGCCCTAAAATTTTTAAATTTTTATATGTTTTATTATTGAAAAAATAGTTTTGTCCCATTAAAATTCTATAAGTTGTTTATTACGTAAAATTTTAAAGTTTGTCCCTCCTAACATAAAATTTTGCGTCAGTGAGAAATAGTGGTATGCCTCATTCATTTAGTTTCTAAAGGAAGCTAAGCATGTATTTCATTGGTTTTATTACCTGATTATCGTCGTCATCCTCGTCATTGTGTCGAGAATCAACTTGATTTCCAGCTATTGAGGATTTGAAACGCCCAGCCAAGAAAAGGGAAGCCATACTATTGCATGGCCATGGATGTGGGACTGAAACTCCAGGATTGAAAGGATGTCTCCGGCATGAACCGCCATCGATTCGAATTCGAGCAGTTCTTCCCTGCAAATTTACCTTTGAAAATGCTCCGATACGATAAGCTACTACTACAAACGATCTTCTTCCCCAACTTGCCATCTCCTTTTATTATTAATCTGGGCAAAATATTGAAGGAAAATGAGAAAATGGTGAAAGCAAAAACTGTGTTCACCAAAAATAAAATGTTGTGGTTATGTGCTTGGTGTGACAATACAACACGAATATGACAGACCAAAAGTTTGTATTAACGCAATTAATGAGCTAGCTTAGTGGGGGATTAGTGCGGCAGTTTCTTTGACAGAGAAGGCTACCTAATTAACTGTTTGGGTAAAATACACAAATAGTCTATTGACTATTAAAAGTTACAAAATGGTCCATCGATTATAGAGAGTTGCTCTGTTGAGTCCTTTAATTTTTAAAAACTATAAAATGATCACTCGACTATTCATTATATTTCAAACTAGTCCTTTTCCATTAAAAAATTAAAGGTAGTCTGCGCTAGACGTTAACCTGCTAATCGAGATATGATAAAATCTGATATTATAATCTCAAATGACTATCATATCTCAGTCGGCAGGTTAATGTCCAACACAGATTGATGCTAATTTTTCAACGGAAAAAGACTAGTTTGAAATATAATAAATAGACGTGTGACCATTTTGTAACTTTTAATAGTTCATGGACTCAACAAAGTAACTCCCTATAATCGAGGGGTCATTTTATAACTTTTAATAGTCCAGAGACTCAAAAAATATTTTTCTATAGTCGTAGGACCATTGGTGTACTTTACCGTGACTTTTTTCCCTTTAATTACTTTGACACAATTCTGGGTTACCTCTGTTGTAGGTAATTGCAATTTATAGATAATGAAAGTTTATAGTCTTAACCTTTATTAATTTGGTTGGTTAGATTTAGGTATTATTTTATAAATTAATAATTTTAAATTACAAATCTGTCGGTCGTTTTACTAATTTTTTTTTTGCAATTTATAGATAATGGAAGTTTATGTATAATCACTGATTTCTGATTTATTAATTTATTAATCCAGTTCGAATACTGTAGATGCAAGGACGATCCTACTAATTTAGTTTGTTCAATTCACAAACAACATGATTTGAACCCCTAATATTGTTTAAAGGATTTAATGCCTCGTCTCACTACCAATTAATTGTTGGTTACTAAAAGTTAAATATTGACTGTATTTAAATTATTTGATGAATATAAATTTTAAAAAATTATATAATTAAAAGAAATAAAAAATAAAATAAAAATGTTAGGAAATAATTTGAGTCATAAATGTTTCTTATTTATTTAGTATTTTTCACGTTTTTTCATTAAAAATAAGTAAATTTAATTTTAAATTATCAAATATATTTAAAATATTAAATTATTACATTTTGATGAATTAAAAAAATACAATACATTATCAAACATATCTTAATTTAAATTTATGTTTAACGATATTTTTTTGTTTAAATTCAATATATTTTAAATAACATATCCCCTTTTATGCCAAATTAAAAAAAAAAACTGTGGACTCTCCCTCCCCCTATTCCATGGTTACCCGTTTCCTCCGACATGATGTTATTCTTTCTAGATATTTTGAGTTCGTACAGTTACGTCTAGAAGGTATATGCAGTAGTAAAATTTAGTGATAGAGTTTGGGGTTGTTAACTTAAAATTTTAAGAATTTAGAGGTTTAAATTAAAATTTAAAAAAATTGAAGGGTTTAATTTATGTTTTTCCAAAGAAAATTAGGGTTTAACTTCAATTTTTAAAATTTTGAGAGGCTTAATGAGAATTTTTAAAATATATGAGAGGGAATTAAGAACATTAAAAAAATTTAAAATTTAATTTGAATTTCTAAAAATTAGGGGCAAATTGAGTTTTTTTTTTAATTTTAAGAGTCAAAATTAGATTTTTTTTAAATTTTGAGGGGGTCATCGTCCAGCTTGTGTTCCGTCCCTAGATATGTGTGTGTTATCAATGATTAAGAAAGATTTTAAACCGATATTACTTTATAATCCCTCTAAATTATTAAAAGGAAAAAAAAAGCTATGTACAATTAGTTTTTGACATTAGTTTAATCACATATTAATCCCATTAGTGCATGAAACTTAAGAGACAGAAAGCGAAGCACTCAAAAGACAAATAATATGGGCTCCGCCATTGTTGTAGGGTTTTCAAATGACATCATTTTCCTGCTCCAAAAACCAATGGTTCATCAACATCTAGCTGCCATTCTACATTCTACACATAAAGCATCTTCTTACAAGACAAATGAGTCCTAATCAATTTCACCATATGAAATGACAGGACAGATGATCAATCCCTGTCTGATAGCTATTCATCATCCTGTATCAAAAGTTCAATGCAAAATACATAATGCAAACCCTTCCATGTTTGAGTATATCAAGCTGGCTTTCATTACCATACGGGTTAAAATTTAAAACATGTTAATTGAAGAACTCGAGAGATATCAACAAATCAGAAGTTATATTCAGCACCTTCTATCTCATGCTATACATGAATATTGCCACTTTCTTCCAATTCCCAAGTTAATAGTTCTAATATTAGATATATGTCTTTACCTCCCTCGTGCTGTAACCGGTCTGCCTCGAACGTGAATACGTGGTTTCGTATTCCAATCCAACTGCATCCGACTCTTTTCTTCAACCTCTGCTTGATGGCCTTCTTGACTCGAATTATACGTCCCCATTTACCCCTCATCTCATATGCACGAGTCAGAACCAAATAGGGTAAAGATGAATGCGGATTCAGTTCGATCATCTTCTTTGCTACTCTTTCGGTGATATTCAGGTTGGTGTAAGTCGCTGTAGCAAGTACTAGTGATTTCCAAACTAAAAAGCCAGGTTCAAAAGGCATTGCTTCTAAAGTATCAAATGCTTCTTTGAATTTACCAGCATGGCAGAGCAAGTCAATAACACACGCATAATGCTCGTCACGAGGTGTAACTACAAATTCTTCCTCCATTGATGAAAGTATATGCATTCCTATATCTACAAAAGCTCCACACCTGCAAGCTAATAGAACACCAGAAAGTGTTATTCGATCTGGTGCCGGACCTTCTCTAAGAAGTTCTTTAAATATTTCCAATGTCTCGACAACTCTGCCATTGTGAGCCAAACCCATGATTAAAGTATTCCAAGATATTAGGTCTTTAACATGTATTTCAGAGAAAACCTGCAGTGCTGAGTCAATTGATCCAGTATTAGTATACATATCGACAAGTGAAGTGGCGACAATTAAATCCGACTGAAAACCAGATTTTATCACCAACAAATGGAGTTGGGGTCCTTGCTCGATCGAAAGAAAGTTTATACAACTTAGGACACTACTTAGACTGAACTCAGTAGGCCTACAATCCTCCCTAAAAGCAAGCACAATAAGTAAGAAAGCATCATCATGGAAGCCATGCCTAGCATAACTTGAGATCATAGAATTGCAAACTAGAGAATCCCAAAGTTCCACTTCTTCAAAAAGCCGAACTGAGTCCTCCAGCGCATTGCATTTTGAGAAAAGGTCGATAACAGCACTTGAAACAATGGAATTCGAGATAAACCCCATCTTGACACACACAGCAAATATTTGCTTACCCTTATCCAAATATCTTAAATTAGTACAAGCAGCAATCACATTGGAGACTGTAAATTCATCTGGGGAAAAACCAGCCAATCTCATCTGATCAAACTGTTCCAATGCCAAACCTTCATGGCCCAACTTAAAACAACTCGAAATCAATGAATTCCACGACACGATATCGACCTCTACCATACTCAAAAAGACACTAAAAGCATACTTTACCAAGCCAAGCTTACCATACATGTCAATCAACGAATTGCCAATCACTAAACTGGACAAACACACACCACTCGTAACCATGTTACAGTGAATTTCCTTCCCCTGACTAGCAGAAGACACAAACGTTGTTAGAATCGAAAACGTGAACTTACTCGGTCTAACACCAAAAGTCTGCATTTCCTTAAACACTTCCAATCCACAACCCCAAAGCCCCAACACCCCAAAACTCGAAATCATCGAGTTCCAACTAACAACATCTTTCTCGGGCATTTCATCAAACAATAAATGTGCTTTCTTAAAATGCCCAAACTTTAGCAACCCGTTCAACCAAATGTTCCAAGATATAACATTTTTGTCATTTATCTCCTCGAAAACTTTGGAAGCGTCATTAAAAGAGCCAAGTTTGAGATAAAGGTCCACAAAACGATTACCCAGAAAGGTTATGCCACTGAATCCGAATTTGATCAACTGAGCGTGGATTGTTTGGGAAAGTTGAATGGACTTCAAGGATAAACATTGGTTTATGAAGTTGTTGTAATGAGACAGAGTGGGTTTCGGTGACAAATAACTCGGTCTTAGGAAAGGGCGCATGCATGGAGCAAATGTTTCTTTGCCCTCTTTATTTACTTCGTTTGAAGGGATGAAGGGAGTATCGGTTTGGGGTTCGATCTTTTAGCTTCTTCTTGCTGGGTTAATTTTACAGATGAAGTTTGCATCTTGGGCCATCATTTTACAAATGAAGTTAAGAAAGAGACTTATTAGCAGGGATGAAAAACAAAGTAACCCTTTTAAAATGATTATTAATATTTGAATAATTTTTTTATTAATATTTAAAAATATTAATTTAATCATTAATATTATCAATTTATAACAATTTATTTACTCAATTATTACTATTCATAATTAAGATAACAAAATATTAATATGGCGAGTTAAATCAACTAACCTTACACTGTTTTATCATACGAGACAGCTATTTTAACCGACCTTTCTCTGCTATCTTTACTCTCTGCAATTGTACTTTCTGCAACTGTAAAAAAGCTGTAATTGTATCCAATAATATAACACAAAAATTACACTCAATTTTCATCTCACTTTTATTTTAATTATTAAATTTTCATCACCCAATTTTTAAATTATTTCTATTTTAGTTAATGACAAAATGACACGATATGTACAACGTTCTAAAAATAAATAAAATTTACATTAAATATGATATCATTATAGATCCTATTAAATTCATTTTTTTTCTTCTCTCTCAATTTGTTCAGATGGTCAATCAATTCTAAAATTTTTCATCAAATTTGTTTCATCCTACTCAACGTAAATTCGATGTCCATTCAATCAGAAAATATTCCAAACTCGGTGAATATTCAGTGTTAAAACGAACAAAACAACAACACTCTTTAATTAGAATCTCTGAATGTGTTATACGGACAACTGGAATCTCTCTGCTGTGACAATCTCTTGTATGTTGAAACCTAAACATTTAACATTATTGAAAGATAATTACACGTTGAAACGCCATTTTCAAAGATGGTTCAACTTTGAAGCTTTCCTTTTACCTAGATGCTTTGGTTTTCCTGGAGAAGATGAATGCCAAGCAACCGTTCATTCCATGCCTGCATTTTGCACAAAAGACAATGCATTTCCAATGATTCCCATGTAAAACTTACTCTACAATCATATCTCAGATCAATTAAATTCCATTTTCATACCTGCGGCTGGTACTGCTGTTGCTTCTGTCGCTGCCGCTGCTGTTGATGCTGCTGCTACGGTTGCTTTTGGTGCTTCCACTGTTTATAGTCGATCCACCGCCGTCGCTCTCGCTCGAACCCGATCTCTTCTTCCACCAATCTTTATCTACAGTCTTACTAGATACATCTGCTACATTCTTACTTGTGTTACAATCATTCTTCTTCTTCACCATCTTCTTTTTCTTAGACCCCAAGGAAAATGGAAACACTATTTTCAAAAGAAGCTCTCCATTATCTAAGCTTCCACTCCTATTAATCTGCTGTTTCAGACTGTTCTGTCTCTCCTTGTACTTATGATCCCCGATCGAATTCAAACATAAACTTTCCTGTTTCTGTTCATCAACCACAGCCTGCTGCCGTTGATGTTCCACGAGATCTTTCAACGTAAGCTCATAACAAGACTCGGGCATCTTACTAACCATTTCCATAAGCTCCCTCTGGCCTCTAGCTATGGCTTGAGTTCTCGACGATGGCGATAAACATCGGTAATCGATGTTCATCTCATGTCGAGGACTAATTTTCCATAAAGGAGGACTGCAAATCCCAGACTCATCGTACACCATACCTCCTCCCATGGCATGATCATCATAATTGTCAACCATCACTTAATCTCAAGTGATCCGACAGACTGATAAAAGATTTGGGGTGTTCTTTGCCGGGATCGAACATGTTTTCCGGTGAAGAAAATTGGGTGAAAGGCGAAGGAAGAGGCATGGGAGTTATTGCAGATTGCTTGAAAGGTGGGTGTGGAGCCATTGTCTTCACCAACCCTTGCAGTCACTTTTCTGTGATTTTTCTCAATAAAAACTTGGTTTAAATGGCGACAAGTGCCCACAAATTTTAAGATTTTACTAGCCCATAACATATCTTTAAGATATGTCATAGTATCTTAATTTCTTTTTATAATTTTTTTTAAAAAATTATTATTAATATATTGAAATCAAATTTTAGATGTTAGGGTTACTTAAAAGGTTCCAGAGGGCCATCCCTTTCTTCATTTATATTTTTGTCTTTATATATATGGGTGTATATATATTTGTCATTTGATGAGATTGTGACCTATGTTAATAAATTGTATTTCTTTAAAAAGTAATTTTCTCATTCTCATAAATTTTAATTTGTATAATCTTATTTATTTAAATTTTAAGATTTAAATATTAATCTTAAAATTTATATTCTAAACTTTAAATAAAAAGTAGAACTTTAAATACTAATCCTTAAATCCAAAATATTAAATCCTAGATAACATATATGACATTAAATTGTATTACTTTGTGTAAATTAAAATTTATACAATCTTTATACCAAAAAGTTTTTTAAATAGTTCAATAATTGAATTTAAAATTTATTTTTGTAATTTTGTATAATTAGTATCAACAGAGCCATCTAGGATATTTTCAGGTCTCTGAGCGAAAAAAATTAAAAGTAGACTCCTTTACATTTTTTAACTAAATAATTTTAAAAATTAGATTTTTCTTCAATTCTTTTGAGAACTTGTTCTTCCTACATTAACAAATCCAAAAGCCCAAAATATTTAATGTTCTTTTTTTTTCTCGAATTTGAAGGAATTGAATTGTGAATATGATATGGAGTCTGATTTTAAACGATAAATAGAAAATTTGAAGAATATTGTATTATTTTACCATTAGGTTGAGGTTGTAGAAGATAAAGAGTTGAATGATATTTGATAAATTGAACAATATAATTTGGGAAAGAGAGAAATACATTTAGATTTAATTTGAAATTGAATGAACTAATGAGAGAGACATAGAAACAGAATTGGAAATTGATAAATGTATGGGATTGAGAAAAATTAGGGGCCCTTACATGTAAAAGCAAGAGCTCATGGTACTCCCCCTATAGTTGGTTATGAGTACTAATGACTGGTATTCTTTCATTTTATCTGAAATTTTATTCATATAAAAAATATTTGAATATAATTTTTATGGTAAAGTATACAAATGGTCCCCGACTCACTACAGCAAAAGTGGCTTGTTGCGGCGTTTTTTTTACTTATAGCGGCGTTTTTAAGCGCCGCTAAAAACACCTACGGCATAAAGACAAACGCCGCTAAAAGCGTCGCTAAAAATAGCGCCGCTAAAGTTTGCGGTGTTTTTCAACAAAAAACGCCGCAATAGGTGACAACATATAGCGGCGTCAAACGCCGCAAAAGGTATTGATATTTAGCGACGTTTGGCAGAAAAATGCCGCAATAGGTGTTGATGTTTAGCGGCGTTTTCTTCACAAACGCCGCAATAGATGTTGATTTTTACTGACGTTTTTCCTACAAACGCCGCAATATGTATTGAGATTTAGCGGTGTTTTTATCAAAAACGCCGCTAAATGTATGGTATATTGCAGCGCTTTTTGTTACAAACGCCGCTAAATAACACAGAATTTAAAAGTTCTAAAAATTATGCTTAATACCCCAAATCTGTTTTTTCAACCTGTTCCATTATCCAACAAACAAAACAACAATAACATCAAATCCAATATAATAAATAAAAGTTTTCATTAACGTAATACAAGTTAAGTTAAACACGGTTTAGTAATATTAACATAATGCTCATAACATAAATGAGGCTACGATGGTAGATTCTGAGGTTGCGTTTTTTGTATCATCAGCATCATATCATTGAGTCGTTTTTCAAATTCTTCACATCTCTGCTTATATATTACTTCTCTCTGTGCTACCACTGCTTCTCTCTGTACTGCCGCTGCCTCTCTCTGTGCTGCCACTGCTTCTCTCTCTGCTTCTGCTGCTGCTCTAGCTGCTTCCGCTGTTGCTCTCTCTGCTTCCCTTGCTTCATTTTCCGCTTTCAAGTTAGCCATTTGTTGATCCATCTCAGCCAACTTTTCTTTTAAACGACCAACTTCTAATTGGGAAGATTGAGACTGTGATGACATGTACTGTGATGAACTTGGATCCAAAATATTTGGTGGGAGTAACGAATGATCCTTGACAGCGCACCCGACCATATCTTTCAGGACCCAAAACGTCATTAATAGCTTGGTTTTCAATGTCATCATCATTAACATACCTTGACTCGAAGCAGTAGCATGATACTGCCCTTTTCTCCCTCAATTTTTCCTAATAATAAGTGAATAATTAATTAAAATAAAAAAATGTCATGGTACAAATATAAATAAGTCAGGTAAATTTAAAACATCTACCCAATAAACGTACCATAATTTCTGCAGCGTCAGCAGTCATAGGAGTGCCATCCTTCGTATGAGTCATGTGGAAGAGTTGGATTCGACCAACTTTAGAACCGGATGTATTTTCCTACAATGTACCATAATGTAATTACTAGAGTTAGTATGTACATGGAATACAAAAAAACTATTTCAATAATCTATAATACCTCCTCGTTACAAGTATTTATGAAAAATACATCATACTGTCCTTTTTGAGAAACTCCAAAATCTGACTGCATCTTCCCATTGGTACCTGAGCATTCTGGTGGGACTGTTTGCAACTTCTCTTCAAGGCTGAGATCATTCTTGAAGTATTCTTCTTTAAGGAGCTCTTGTGGTCCCTCTATCTCTTCCCTAACGCTTGCTTCACATAATCGTCAGAGACCTCTAAAACAAATTCTCCTATACAGCAAATAAGTGTGCACTGTAAGTATAAATTAGTATTGAATTTATATAGGTATCTATTATAATGACATATTACCTTAACAAAATCCAGTATTTATGAAAAATATCATACCTGTCCTTTTTGAGAACTCCAAAATCTGACTGCATCTTCCCATTGGTACCTGAGCATTCCTGGTGGGACTGTTTGCAACTTCTCTTCAAGGCTGAGATCATTCTTGAAGTATTTCTTCTTTAAGGAGCTCTTGTGGTCCCCTCTATCTCTTCCCTAACGCTTGCTTCACATAATCGTCAGAGACCTCTAAAACAAATTCTCCTATACAGCAAATAAGTGCACTGTAAGTATAAATTAGTATTGAATTTATATAGAGTATCTATTATAATGACATTATTACCTTAACAAAATCCAACTCTTGATTTTTGTTACTATTAGGCATTTTGCGCCATGACTCATAATTGATCGGTAACAGATTCGCATTACGTCCAACTAGCCTAAGTAACCTGCTAGAAGACGTGATTCTGGGCCAATAGGTTGACCGACATCGTTTTCTTGAAACTTTGACACGATGCCTAGGAGGAAGTTGGTATAATTCCTTTAAAGTTGTACGTCCTCGAGTCTTGCGCGTTCCAGCATTTTCAACTATATAAGAAATTATTAAATGTCAGTTTTGAAAATGAACAAAGTAGTAAATAAAGTTTCGAAGATTACCTTGAATTTCTACTTCTTCAACAGTTTCAAAAAAACTTCGGAAGACTCAGGTGCATTCAAAATGATTTAATTAATGAATACATTGAAAGATAACATGTTAAGGGTTATACATAAATAAATAATGAAATAAAATCGTACAACATCTTATGTAATGTCAGTTGTCATAAATATCTTCATCAATGTCCTCCTGAACCCATTGAAATTGTGTTGTATTACTGATAGTTTCATCTAAGTTTTGTGGTAGTAGAGGTAAACACTCTGATCTTGTTTCAATGTCATCTCTACTTCCACCCCGATGTCTATCAAGTCTCTGGGAGTATTTCGAAGCACACATACCAACCGTCATCCATTGGATCATGACAATAAAATACTTGTTTCACTTGAGAGGAAAATACATATGATTCATCCATCAAACGTTGACCCGTGTGAATTAATCGAGAGAAATTCACCATTGAAAACCCAAATTTATCTCTTTTTATACATCTGTTTACATCAACCCAGTCACACCCGAAACACACAACCTTTCGTTTTCCATATAATCTAACTCAATAATGTCCGTAAGATTTTCATAATATCGACCTCTCCATCATGCGAATTATTGTCCCTTACAGTAGAATAACTTGTACTACGACTCCACAATTTTGTGTCCTCCTTAATCTTTCACGAGATTTCGTGTGAAACCTGAACCCATTAATGAGGAAGGCATTATATCTTTTAACTATTCTATTCGGACCTTGAGAAAGCCATTTAACTTCTTCACTAACTTCTCTCCCACTCCAAACCTATTACACATGAATGGTGAATTAATTTGCATTGATGTCGATATAAAAAACAAGACATATATTATTTATAAGCGTTCCGTAAGATTTAGTTGCTTACAGTCTGGCCTAACCATTCATGAAAAGTTTCTGTGAACAACTTATGTAGCTCTCGCTGATTTAATCTTCGGGAGCGTGCTCGAGATCTCAATACTTCTTTAAACTCACTATAAAGAATATTATGTCGATAAAAATTGATAAATATAAAAGATAAAGAGATTTCATTAGGATTGGGTCCGAAAGACTTATGTGCGAAAGTGATCTATTGAATCGTGATGGAAAAGAACATATCGGTGTGCTTGTACCCAAGACGTGTCATCTAATTCAACTTTCCCTAATGGTTGACCATAACTTCCAAACAAATAATGTTGAGTTAAGTCATCAGTACCTAACTCATCATTTCGATTTGGTCTATTCCATCTTGTTTCAACATGTTCCAAATATCTAGAGCAAAATGTCATACATTCCTCTGCCAAATACCCTTCAGCAATTGATCCTTCCGGATAACGCTTATTACGACAATAAGACTTCAACTTGCCCAAGAACCTATACAGAAAACAACATACTACGTAAATACATTTTATTCAAATGTATAATCAGTAGTAATTTGAAACGTGTAATTCAATTAACACCTCTCTATAGGGTACATCCATCGATAGAAAATGGGACCACCAACTCTTGCTTCGTGAGGAAGATGAA